TTATTTTCCTACCAAAACAAATGTTTACATTCTTGCCTAATTTTGTGTTCTTTCTCTTAAAGAGATCACCTAAAATTTTATTAGCTGAGGTATCATATAATGTGAGTCTGCTGTTAATTAAGCATCAAATTTAGCTCTGAGTTTTCTAGTTACCAGAGTGACAGGAAAACAGAGAATGGAGGAAATAAAGTCATAACAATAGTTATAAGTGATCAAATATAAGGTATTTCATCATGAGAAGATGGCATTATAACCAACTCATGTTAAGTGTAAGAAATAGAAAAACGTCTAACACATAAAAAAACACTAGAGTCAGGGACTGTAATAAGCACAGTGGGTACCAATCAGTATTTCAAACCCCAAGGCCTGTGTTCTTAGCCACTGGGTTACATTTTCTCTTCAAGATGAAGAGAAAAATTGGAGAACAAGACAGTCTTCTTTCATTCTAAATTATTTTGAAGCTGACCTTGACTATAATAAGAGACTTCTTATTGCCCAGAGCTCCCAGAAGCAAACACCACCTCGGAGAGCGGCCCAGATAAATCACTGTCCACCAACCGTGACTCACTGACTTCACTGAGCAACTTTCATATTTGTAGAACAAAAGTCAGATTTAAATTGTATAAAACCTGATAGACTCTATGATCTAGTTTCTTTTTTCCATTTTCTGTTTATGTAACTGTTCGGCTGCTCTTTGGAGGTTTTTTTGGTTTCCTTTCATTTTTTTAAATGAATAAATAAGCACAATAAGGAGAAATATTTCCTCAGAAATCTTTAGAAAATATGCCATAGCAATAGTACTACTAGTAATAAAACAATTATTGAGAAAGTTCTAATAATAATAGATAGCATGTATCTGCTTATTTATTTATAACATTTATTTGAGTTATGTGTTAAGAACTTTAAATGAGTTATCTTACTAAATTCTTAACAAACCCATGAAGAAAATTTTATTAGTATCCCCCATTTTGCAAATGAGGGAACTGAGGCTTAAAAGGATTAAGTCACTTGATGAAGATTTTAATACAAGTAATTGATGAAAGCCAGAATTCGAACTTACTGCTGGGTTCCAACTCGGAAAAGTTGCTAACATAATATTCAGTGCAGAATGGATAGGCACTAAGCCAGAGCTTTGCATGAAAAGGATGCCCAGGAAATGTGTGTAGTATAAAACATTATCACCATTTAATCTGAGAGAGCTTAAATTATAACTCCTCTTCTCTTATGGCAGAAGAGTTTCTCGCACTAAGGACCTGATCAAACGCCATATGAATGGTCAGGAGGAAGTCAAGGCCATGGGTGCTGAGACATTATTTGGCACCAATAATGGATTCTAAGACCCTACTTTGTCTCAGGTACTTCATTCAGGGAGACTTATAGTACTGGGGCGCTCTGCTAATAATAATCTGCAGATCTTCAGCTCAACAGTTGTGCTTATCAGAGGATCTATTTGCTCTGAAACTACTCATACATTTAATACACTTAGGTCCTTAGTAAATCATTGTAAATTGTCACGTGGAACCATAAAAGTACCTGTATGTGTTTGATCAGTCAGTCACTAAGAGCCATCTGCTAGGAGCCAGGCATCTTACATTTATTATTTCATTTATTTCTTAGAAGAAGCTTATGTAGCAGGTAATTTTACCCAATTTACTGAACAGGGAATTGAGCAGTTGGATAATTTGTGGAAGGATTAAACTCAGACTAGGAACTCCAAAACCCAGCCTTGTCTCCTCATATGTAGAGTAAGAAACCAAAAGATTTTTCTGCTCTCAGTGGCTTAAAATCTAGAGCCATGAGAGGATCTTAATGGGAAACAAAGAGAAGTAAGGAAGTCACAGACCTTTGGAGGATATGGGTTCTTTTTCAGGGGGGAAAAATCTGTCTATATACAAATGTGCAAATTCTTACATGCGGCTTCTTGAATTTACAGATCCCAGATTAAGATCACCTGTTTTAAGGGTGAGAAGAAAAATGTAGAGGGAATAACAGATACACTCTCAAAACTTGTAAAACCAAATTATAAACATGTTTGCAAACCATTAGAATGGTTTGAAGGCAAAAAGAACTTATAAAATAAGTAGAAATAATTGGAGTAAAGAAAAAAGTCACAAAGGACTGGTTGAACACATTTTATAGAATTAAGCACTTCTGCAGTTTTTGGGTTTTTTTTAAAGAAGAGATTTAGTTATTTTTCCAATTCAATTCAGCACTACTAAGAGTTTGCCCACTCAAAGTCTTGGTTGGATTTTAGAAACAAGAATTATTTCATTACCACTAACTACCCTTATGGCAGAGGGAACAAGGGTAAACAGAGAAAGTGATCAAAAGTGAAGTTTTGTGGCAATAAACTATATAGCCAAGGGTAAAATCAAAAATCCACCCTCTATGTGAATGGCACAAGCAAAGGCCAGGTCATCTGGCATCATGATTCCCATTTCACTTCCAAGTTACACTGTTCCCTACAGTTACACTGTAGGTGTTCGACCACTTGCAAAATTCATCTCCATGTACGCACAGTTTTTTTTGTTTGTTTTTTTGTTTTTGAGTCAGAGTCTCACTCTGACTCACAGAGTCTCACAGCCACTGCAGCCTCAACCCGCGGGACTCAGGTGATCCTTCCACCTCAGCCTTGCAAGTAGCCAGAACTACAGGTGCACTATCATGCTCGGCTAATTTTTTTATTTATTGAAGAGATAAGGTCTTGCCAAGTTGCCTAGGCTGGTCTTGAACCTGCAGGCTCAGGCAATCCTCTCACCTTAGCCTCCCAAAGTGCTGGGATTACAGGTGTAAGCCACTGCACCTGGCCAATGTGCATACAGTATTAAATTGCTACTCAGTTTCTACAAAATCAGAAAAAGGCACCCAGGCCCTTAAAGCAGAAATAATTTGCATGTCTTGAAAATACACAGACTGAGAAGATATTCCTGGCTTAATTTAAAGTCAAATATTCTAGCACAATTTTATTCTTTGTCACACTAAAATTGTAGAGCACGGGGAATAAAAAATACAATGTTATGTGGCTCAAGAGGAAGGACATGGCACTTCACATGCCTTGGAAGAGTCACACCATGTGTAACCACTAGTGAACTGATATAAGCAATCATAATAATAAGAGCCAGTTTTTGTTTGCTTGTTTGTTTGTTTGTTTTTGAGTTGGAGTCTCACTCTGTCACCCAGACTGGAGTGCAGTGGCCACTCCCAGCCACCACAGCCTCAACCTGCTGGGCTCCGGCGATCCTTCCACCTAGCCTTCCAAGTAGCTGGAACTACAGGCACACGCTACCATGCCCAGCTAATTTTTGATTTATTGTAGAGATGAGGTCTCGCCAAGTTGCCCAGGCGGGTCTCGAACCCTCAGGCTCAGTCAGTCCACTCACCTCAGCCTCCCAAAGCGCGGGATTACAGGCTGAGCCACTGAGCCCAGCTAAGAGCCAGCTTTTAGCATCAAATTCAATCATTCTTAGCTTTTAAATCCCAACATTAAAATAAGTAAACATCACCACAACAAATGTTTTTCTCTTTTAAAGCCATAAGAAAATAGGAAATTCAAGTTCAGCAGAGATAACAAAGCTTGCTCTTGTCAATTGAAAGTATCATGGACCCTATTTATTTAGAAGTAAAATCTTTATTATGCAAAGTCAGATTTCAGAAAAATTTTATAACATAACCCCTTCGGTGAATTTCTCAACTCCTATTTTCATGGGGCTGTGTTATCACAACAGCTGAGCGTTCATTTGCCGTTTTACCCAGCTCTTTTAAAATTCTCAGTCTCCAGTATCTGAACTATGTTTGACTTCAAAAGCAACACTATGTCCAACCAGCCTTGAGTAGCACAAATCAAATCAAGTCACTGAGATGTCCATGTATACAACCTTCCAGTCAATTTTAATTACATACAAAATAGAAATGAATTAAATATATAAAAATTAAGCATAAATATTGGCCTATCTTTTGATGAAATATAATGCTTTATGATAGTAGCATATAGTTAATATTATTCACTTTTGTTCCCAAAATGTCTCCATATAAACAACATTTATATACTTCAAAACCCAGATTCACCAAGGAAAGCATCTTCCAAATCTTATTGCTGTAAGCTTATTTTCCTGGACTGTTATTATACATAATAAGAGACTTGATTTGACAGCTCCTGTAACAGCATATTATACATTTTAAATTGAATGTGCTTTTTAACTTAAACTCTTGTGATGGCAAAACCATTTTCCTCAAAGCTGATTGGCTAAGCATGTCTACAACAGAGTTTAAATGTAACCTTGTTATGCCAAGTTTTCTGACAAGGAGGAAACTTTTCATATTGAGCTTATTTGGTACTGAACATGATATCTGCATGAAGAATTTTTGTTTTATTATTAAGAAATAAATATATCTTTCTCCTTGAGATATCCCTGTCTTCAGAAATTTATAGTCATTTCCACTATAGACCATTAAGTATAAATCTCAAAGACAGGCTAACAAAATTCAAGTAAAGTTATTTTTTATGTATTGCAGCTTCTAACTGGCATTGGGTGAGTATTAGAGATTATCAACAGCAATTATACAGTGCCAATTAGTGAATTTAATTAATAGATGTTGATTGGTTTCCTTATTGCCTTCCTTGATTTGGGTTGTGTATAATCATTGTTTGCAGACTAATCTTCTGATAAAACTTTAAACACCTTTATTTATTTGGTGTATTTGTTTTTCTTATAAGTTCTCTTCCAACCTACTCAGACCTCCTTTACTACTGTATTTTTGTGCATTTCCCCATTGAGATGTCTAGTTTTGTCAACAATGTACTAGAAGTATCTCAAAACACAGTGCCTGTGTCATTTTTCTCTCTGATTTAGCTTTCATCTTTGTTTTAAAGCCACAGAAGATGAGCTTGATCTTGAAGACCCGCTAATAAGGGTATGATTGAATAAAATAATGAACATGACGTGCTGCCTTAGAGCTGAAACTTTGCTATTTATTTATCTTCTATATTTGAGGGTTTTTTTCTCATGCTAAATCTGTATTTTTCTTAAAGGCTTATGAAAATTTTGCTGAAAAAATGTTGCTGCTTCAGTGTAGACATGAAGCCTCTTTTCCTCAGCTAGATACCTTGGTGAGTATTTTGATTTATTTTTCCCAGTATATACAAGCTCTTAAACTAGCTATTGAGAGAAGTACACTTGAGAGAACAAAGCAGTGTTTAAATATGTCAGAAGAACCAGACAGTACCTGCGTTCTCAGATGGAATGGATGAACTTAACACAGTCATTGTACTTTGTGGCAATCATGATGAGTGTTATTTTGAATTCAAAAAAATTATTCATTGCAGACTTTTGTCCAATCATGGACTTTTAGAGAAGTGAAGGGAAGGTATCTTGAGAGTCATCTAACATAATACATTAATTTTACAAAAAAGAAAATGAGTGGCATTTTATATTTGCAAAACAAAGGCCACATCACTCTAGATGTGAAGGTGCCTTGCTGATAAGAAGTGTGCAGCATTATCAAGAACCACTGTGACTGCTACTAGAGAGATGATTTGGCAAGAAATTAAACATCCAAAAATGCCTCCAAAATCTTGAGCCATAATTTTAGAAACATCTAGAAAAGAAAGCTTTCATCGGTATTCTCTTTATTAGCTTCCTTGTAATGTTGTAGCCTAAAGACACTAGTTTTAGCTGTTATTTTTAATTCTCCATGATGTTATAATTCTGAAAATCTCTAATTAGTATTAAAGGCATTTGCATTTTACTTCTTCTCTTTTTAAATTACACTTTCCCAATGTCTCTGATATATGATCACACCTACAGCTTAGGAAAAAGTTAATTATAAAAATGCAAAACTGTCCTTTAATCATATTGCTCCTATAGGAAGCAAACACAAGGGTAGGCATAGGCTCAAATAACTTCTGGAAGCATTTCACATCCAGAAAAAGAAAGAGCAAAAGAAATGAACAACTACTAGGTGCCTACATGTTGATTACTATGCTGGAAACTGGGTTGTATCTGATATATCATGAAAATGAATCATTCTGATTTAAGCCCTTATTTTCCTCTATTTTATAAGCAAATAGAAAGTTTCCTTAACACATTCCCTGAGTAAATGCTTCAGAATAAACCTTGTTCAAAGAGTAAATACAAGTCTGAATTTTATAAGAATATAATTAACTAGAGTGGGATAAATGAAATCCATAAAAACAATCTCCAAACTTCATACATAAGTCTACTGTTTCAATCCTTTCCTCTGTGTGCTTAAACAAAGTAACAAAGAGATTTACTTTTTTGCTTATTTCTTCTTAATTTCCTGGCCAGCCCTTGAGCAGAAGTGACACTTTAAAGGAAAAATAAATAATAATAAAAACAATAGAAAAAACAAGAAATAATAGGATTCTGGAATATTCCAATTTATTTAATTAACCTTTATATAATGCAATATTGTCTATAACATCTTAGAGCGTAGCAACAAGTTTTGACTTTGGAATGTGTTCCCACTGAAACTGAAATTATTGTGTACAATGAATGTAGTTGGACAATACTTGGACTTTCTAAAGCAACCTGGCAACTAGAAAACCAAATCCATCAATATTCCTATTCTGGGAGTAACCTCCTAATTTCTACTTTCCACATTCTAGTGCTATGAACTCTCTCTCCCTCTCTCTTTCTCTTTCTGTCTCTTCACACCCACCTCTCCACCTCCCACCCCCATCTCACTTTTATCTTTCCTCTTTAATCTGACCCTTTAGACAGCTTGAAAAATACCAGGTACTCACATGTTCTCACTCATAAGTAGACCCTGAACATTTACTAAAATACTATAAGAAAGGTATTGGTGGTAGCAGGACACTGTCAGGGGAGGGAGGGGGGAACATAACATCAATAAAGGTACCTGATCTCAAACCACACGAAGTGGGGACCAAAGAGAGGCCCAATCTTTACCTGTACGGTGATCACTTGTATACTTAATCCTGAATTGTACCCCGCATCTTTAAATAAAAATAAATAATTTTAAGAAAATACCAGGCACTTACTATCTAATAGTTTATTTTAAATAATTTAAAATAGCAACAGAGGCCCCATCTATCTCTATACTCTCCTTGACAGACAAGAGGGCCCTATGTGTAGTTATTTCACAGTCCAAAAATAAAATTCAGGTTTGTATTTCAGGCACCAAATGGAAAAATGGAGATTCTCCTGATCTTTCTGGGGCTGCTTGGTAATTCCATTGCTATGCCGGTAAGTATTTTTTTAATGTGAGGCTTTTTCTTTATGTCCTATTGTTACATCACTTGAGGACCATTGTAGAGTTTATTTCCACTGATTCTTTGCACCTGTCACTGATATTCTCTCACTTCCAGATGCACATGCCCCGAATGCCTGGATTTAGCAGCAAAAGTGAGGAGGTATGTACATTCAATCTCAAGGGAGAAGTTTTCCAGAGTCTTATCTTAGAAGTTCATTTTTAAAAAGGAGATTATTGGAAAATTTTCTAATGTGTAAAACTTTTAATGAAAGAGATAAAGAGAGGGAGAGTTGAAAATCTTAAACTCTCAAATCAGGGCAAAATAATAACTTCCCCAGCATCATTCTACCTATGTGCTTCAATATTCCTTTTTAAAGTAAATATGGGCTTTGTTAAAATCTAGTTGATGGGGTAGATGCAGTGGCTCATGCCTATAATCCCAGCACTTTGGGAGGCCAAAGTGAGAGGTTTACCTAAGCTCACGGGTTCAAGACCACCCTGGGCAATTTGGCGAGAACTCATCTCAACAATAAATTTAAAAATGAGCTGGATGTATGGCGTAAACCTGTAGTTCCAGTTACTTGGAAGGCTGAGGCAGAAGGATCGCCTGAGCACAGCAAGTCAAGACTGCAGTGGCCATGAGCGTGCCAATGCGCTCCAACCTAGGTGACAGAGTGAGAGGCCAACTAAAAACAAACAAAAAAATCTAGTTGGTGTCAGCATCTTTGCTAAGTTTGTTAGCTAGCAGAGGGAGCTGTTTGTAACAAGGTTGTTAGAAGGGTACAGGCTTAAAAATATAAATATCTTTTACATGACTCATACTTGGGATCATTAACCAAATTCAATTCACGTCGGAAAGAAGATTCATCTTGTCATATAATTATCACATTCTCAGATTTTGAACTCTAAAAGAATAGAACACAACATTCAAAAACTTCAGAATAGACTACATTTTTATTTCCTATTATTCTCTGTTGATGCTTCTCAAAATAGCATTCTGATTTAAAAATTAAAATTGTCTAGTAGTGCCTTTAATTGTATATTTACTTTAAACTCATGCATAAATAGTAAAATATATTATAACTGTTGTGCCTTAAAGTCAGAAATTTCACTTATCTCTTACGATTTGTGGATAAATTGAAAAAAATGTTCACTTTCTGTCACATTAATGAATTTCTCTGGTCACAGATGATGCGGTACGGTCAATTCAACTTTATGAACTCCCCTCATGTAAGTTCCTCTTTATGTTATTTCTGATGTGTTCTTATGTATAATACAGATAATTTATGTATAGTCCAGATAAGATTTGTCTTAGCTTACAGAGACACCAATCCACAGGTTTTGATTACAGTATAATCATTGTAAGAGTTTCATGGGAGAAAAATCATTTCCCCTGTCCCCTCAGATCAAATTTTCTCCTTATACATTAGTGTTGTTCTTTCGTGTAAATCAAAATGAGTATTAACTACAAGTTTTCTTTATATCTGAGAAAATTTGATTCTGGGAAAATACCAGACAAAATTTTACAAATCATGACAGCAAAAATAGCATAGTAAATACCGATGGGGTATAAATTTTTATTTGGACTAGCCTGAGAGATAACACTAAAATACTGAAGTAAGCTTTTATGTTATTTAAATAAATGTGGGTTATTCTTTTCACCTAATTCTCAGAACAAACTATTAACGAATCAAATATCAATTGAATCTTTTGGCATAATTTTTCTGACAGAATTATATGATAGCAAAATTATACTACACATTGATTTTATCTACCATGGCATGATCATGAGGGCTGTTGGGGGTGTAGGAATCAAAGATTTCATTCATTTTTAAAATTATTTTCATTCAAGTCATTCTTTTTCAAAATCCCTTGTCTAAAATCATCATTGTTGGCTGGGCTCGGTGGCTCAGCCTATAATCCCAGCGCTTTGGGAGGCCAAGGTGAGTGGATTGCCTGAGCCCACGGGTTCGAGACCTCATCTCTACAATAAATAAAAAAATCAGCCAGGCATGGTAGCGCATGCCTGTAATTCTGGCTACTTGGAAGGTTGAGGCGGAAGGATCACTGGAGCCCAACAGGTCGAGGCTGCGGTGGCCGGGAATGGCCACTGCACTCCAGTCTGGGCGATGGAGTGAGACTCCAACTCCAAAAAATAAAAATAAAATAAAATAAAATCATCATTGTTGTCAGCTTTCTCTTCCTCAACTTTTGATTGGCCCAACTTTTTCTTTACTTTATTTTAAAGATGTAGGCTACAATTCAGTATTAGGTACATAAGTGGTCATCGTACCGGACCAACTCTTTCAAACCCTTATTCTTAATTCTAGTGACTTTGCCTGTGATTTGAAATTTTTGCCACCTCAATGTCATAAAACCCTGCACCTTAATGCAAGATTAGTAATTTTGTCTTCCATGAATCTGCATATCATGCATATATCATCCAACAGACAGCAAGGAACTAATTAATAAAGACTGTAAACCAGGAGGGAAATGTTTGAATGAGAACTAATGTTGTAAGACTGATAATTCATAAATTATCATATGTTCATAAATTAGCATTTTATAAGTTATCATAAATCCATAATTATCATTTTCAGATTGTAACTACCTTTTCTTCCCTGACCAACCTTGTACTTGTGGGGATTCTGGTAATGAAAATGGAATTAATTAGAATCCACTTGCAACCAAGAAGTATATATACCATATAAGTGTGGTTACACAGACTGAATCTGTATTCTGTCTTTTCTCTTATTTCTTTTTTCACTTGTTGTTTTTGCTTGACAGACTCACTCACTTCCTTCATCTAATTTTTGCTTTTTCTCCTCTTTATTCAGTCTTATAATAATTCACATGACTTCTGGATTTGATATGAAATCTTCTGTAAACTAACTTGTACAACACTTCTTACTTGAGTCAGGGTTTCAGAGTTAGAAAATCATCAGTCAAATTCTTAAACTGAAGTTCTCATCTAATTCTGTCTTTTAATTTGTTGGGTTGTTTGGCTTTCCAGAAGACTGAAGTGCATTTCTGTAAGAAAATATGTAAAGTAATTCAAGCTAAAGACCATGAAGCTTCCATTGTCGAGTCAAGTCCCATTTTTAAACTCCTTGACTGAGTCTTAGGGGCTAACACTGGAGGATGTGGGAAAGCCTGAATCTCAGTCCTGGTGTGATTTCATGGTTATTTGCTACTCTTTCAGTTGGCACACCTGAACCCCATGTATGGAAACGTCCCTCAACAGTTCCCACAGTACCAGATGCCCATGTGGCCTCAGCCACCACCCAACACTTGGCACCTGCAGAAACCCTTAGGACCCAAACGTCAGAACAAGACAGATCCAACCCAGGAGACTCAGAAACCCAACCAGACTCCACCAAAAAAGCCACCACAAAAGAGGCCTTTGAAGCAGCCACCACGTGCCCCACCTGAGCCCAAAGAAGAAACTCAGCCGCCTCAGGTAAGACTTGCCCAGAAAAAATTCCAAATCGGAATCATAAATGGCCTCAGAGGGCCATGCCACCCCCACATACACACTCCTCAATACAGGTACTGTTATGCAGCAATGCAATCTTTTGTCTTGACATTGACCCAAAACTTTGTGGCAAGTCAATTTCAGCCTTGTTTGGTTAAAACCCAAATACTGTTGTCTTTAAAAGCTCCTTTTAAAATACAGAGGCAAATACACAGTGTAATAACATGAGCACTAATAATATAAGTACTAATCTAAGAGACAAGAAACAAAGGTTCAAGTTCCATCCCCAGCCCTCATTAGGTGCTTGATCTTGAACACGTTATTTCACCTTTCTAGATTCCAGTTTTCCCATGAATGAACTAAATGGTTTCTAAGTCTCATCCAGATCTATGCTTTCATTCTCTAAAATATTGCACAGAAATTAACATTGCTTCCAGCACTTCGGGATGACATAAATAAAGTCCTGCCGTAAGGCAAGAAGATGTGCAAACGGTTTCTCAGGATCTCATCCAGTGTGGAGCTTCCAAAATACTGGCTTTTAGTCAGTTAGCACTTATTATCAGACACTATTACAGGTATAGGGAATACAAAATTGAATAAAAACAGATACTCCTGGATTTGTATCCTGGTTTCAGTCATTCACTAGCTATGAGATTTGGGGCAAGTGACTTAATTTTTCTGAACTTTATATTCTTAAGTAAATGGTAGTAGTACATTTACTAGTACTACTAGTAGTAGTACTAACTACTAGTACTAGTAGTTATGTAAGGATGAAATGAGTTTAACAGTATAAAATGCTCAGCACAGGGCCTGGAACATACTGTACAATAACACTAGTTGTTATTATCATTGTCATCTTTGTCCAAAAAACAAAAAAATTAATGCCAAAAACTATCTAGACCCCAAGTTTCCATTGTATTTAGCTAGTTTGTTTTATTTTTTATTTATTCTTCTCAATTCCACATCATTCTGATTCTTTCTCGCTAGGCGTTCCCACCATTCAACAATGGGCTATTTCCCTATCAACAACCACCATGGCAAATTCCACAGGTGAGAATTTTTTTTTCTCTCTGCTAAAAGTAAAAATGATATTAGAATGCTGTATTTTAAATAAATGTAAATTCATACACTCTAATGAAATGCCATATACCAATCAGTAGAGAATATGGAGCAAAATCATCACATCAGTAATCATGTAGGAAAAAAATAAAGAATTTTTTAAACGAATTTTATACTTAGACAAATTGGTGACATGAACACAGATTAAACTACCAAACAGATACTAATAACTTAGTTAATAAATTAATTTTAGGCCGGGCTCGGTGGCTCAGCCTGTAATCCCGCGCTTTGGGAGACTGAGGTGAGTGAATTGACTGAGCCCGCGGGTTCGAGACCAGCCTGAGCAACTTGGCGAGACCTCATCTCTACAATAAAAAAAAAAAAAAAAAATTAGCCAGACGTGGTAGCGCGCGCCTGTAGTTCTAGCTACTTGGAAGGCTGAGGCGGAAGGATCGCCAGAGCCCAGCAGGTCCGAGGCTGCGGTGGCCAGGAGCGGCCACTGCACTCCAGTCTGGGCGATTGAGTGAAACTCCAAATCAAAACAAATAAAAATAAATTTAAAAATAAATTAATTTTAAAAGATTGTGCTACTTAATTACTATTTCCCCACTTGCCTAAAGATTAGAAACACAGATTATCCTCATTCGATGTGACAGGGAAATTGTGACAAAATGGAATTTGAAAACTAAGTGAGATGTGATTAGACTAAGGATTTCCATCATATCTTATTGCTTCTATTGTAAAGAATCTTGCAAAATATTATTTGCAAGAATCCTCAAAGAATCTTTTAAAGCTTAAATTTATTAAAATTAATTAATAAATTATTATTAAATAATAAAATTATTAAAATAAAACAATTGCATCATGGGCTTTAAAAATATCAATGGTAAAATAAACTTTTTGAACTAAAGAACTATTAGCAGTTCCTTTTGAACAAACAAAGCAACAAGAAGTATTTTATCACTGTTCCTTTAGCTATGGCTCTAGATTTTTCTTGTCTACAACTCTACAACCAAGAAGGCTTTTTATCAGCTAAAAACAATTCATTTTACTGAGTAAGAATTTTCTTTCTCCTTAAGAGAGTGGCTTCCTTTTATTGGTCATGCTAAACTAAGGATACTAAGACAGTACCAGGCAAAGCTTTAAAAAGCAGACAAACATGATTCTCCTGCAGAAGTAACAATTGATCTCACCTACATAGAGCTTCTTGAAAGTCTTCAGGAACTGAACTACTTTTCTAAACCTTTCTACTATGTAGCAATTCCTGAGCAGAAATTCAGCCTCCAATTTTGATTAGAAAGTTAACCTTGGTCAAATAAAAATATCAGACCAGGCACAGTGGCTCACGCCTGTAATCCTAGCACTTTGGGAAGCCAAGGAGGGAAGACCATTTGAGCTCAGGAGTTCAAGACCAGTCTCGGCAACATAGTGACACCTCGTTTCTTCAAAAAATAGAACATTAGCAAGGAGTAGCATTACGCACTGATACTCCCAGCTACTCAGGAGGCTGAGGCAGAAGGCTCACCTAAGCCTGGAAGACTGAGGTTGCAGTGAGCCATGATGGTGCCACTGCACTCTAGCCTTAGCAACAGAATGAGACTCCCAACTCAAAAAATTAATTAATTAATTAATTAAGAATTCAGAGTAATAATCCAAGAAGCATTGTCATTCTATGACCCTAAACATGAAGCAGACACACTAAAAATAACATCACTGCTTAATCTCTATTATTAAATGTTCTAATATGAATGTTTGGATCCTAATAGCAGTCAGGTGTGTGTGTGTGTGTGTGTGTGTGTGTGTGTGTGTGTGTGTGTGTGTGTGTGTGTGGTGTTTGTGGGAGATTGTGAAGTCGGTGTTTTTGAATGTTGGAGGTGGTACACTGGAGTGAGTGTTAGGAGATGTAGTCATCCAGAGTATTTTAAGTAGGATAATCTAGGTTCCAGCTGAAGCCTTTGTATTTACCAGTATTTACTATAGGATCATAACACAATAGCTAGACGGTGAAAGCTAAAAGCTCACAGTACTAGCACCCAATCACTGACTTCAGCTATTTTTAGACATATGAGTCTTACAAATGACAGCATAGAAAATGTTTTTCTCTTGTGTTCATTGTGTTTTTCACTTTTCAGAGGATGCCTCCACCAGGTTATGGACGCCCGCCAGTCAGCAACGAAGAAGGAGGGGTAAGTACAAGTAATGTCCTGAGAAGGGTATTAAGTGCTCATCTAACTCCCTCACTGCACAAATGAATTGGGGCTCAATTACTATTCAGTTTCAACTACTGAGTTAGAGGATAAACTGGATGTGGAAACCAAGTTTTCTGATGACTGTCCAATGCCTTTTTTACTATACCACACTAGGAGTCATCAAATGTATGTCACAGCGTGGCACACCCTTAAGATATTCTAGCACTAATGTCATCAAAAAAAGTCGTTTTAGTGACTATGGCATAATACCTTAGCCCTGGAGCTTACTTCTTCTTTTTCCCTAAATATGTGATATGTTCTCAGTGAAATGTGGAAACCCAATAGCTTGACTAAGAGAGTGAGGGGTGAGTTGTTCTTAAAATAATAACATTGAAGATTACTGTGTCAGTAATGGTATAAGCTGCTCTCAAAGATGTCATTGTGAAATAATCCCAAAAATGATTCAGATAAACCTAGAAACTGGCACTTCAAATTTTTATAAGCATAACATTAGAATACAGACACCTTAATGCCTATGGCAACTTCCTGGGTCATTCTGCTTCTATTGTATGTTATGCTGAGGGGTTGCAAGGGTTTTTTTCTCTTCTTTTTTTATTTTTTTATTTTTTTAAGGTGTGGGGTACAACTGAGGTTTAGGTACATAAGTGGTCATCATGCAGGTACTGTTTGGGTACCCTTATTGATGTTATATGCCCTCCCTCCCTCCTCTGGCAGTGTCCTACTACTGCCAATCCCTTTCTTATAGTATTATAATACACGTTCAGGGTCCACTTATGAGTGAGTACACGTAGTACTCAGTTCTTTGTTTCTGTGATAGATCACTGAGTATGATAGACTCTAAATCCATCCAAGTTGCTGCAAAGTCCATAATTTTGTTTGTCTTTAAGGCTGCATAATATTCCATCGTGTATATGTACATTTTTTTTTTATCCAGTTTTCTTTTGATGGGCAGCACGGTTGATTCCATGGTTTTGCTACTGTGAATAATGCTGCAATAAACATAAGTGCACAGGTATCTTTTTTATAGAGTGCCTTGAGTTCCCCCGGGTATATTCCCAGTAGGGGGATTGCAGGGTCATATGGAAGGTCAATTTTTAAATCTTTTAGAAATCACCACAGTTTTCCTCAGAGTTTGTACTAGTTTACATTCCTACCAACAGAGTAGAAGCATTTGGAGTTTCGAGTTTATCCAGTAAAGGAGAGCTTTAAAAACATATTTAAAGAGGAAAGTAGCAGAATTTTCGTATACCTGCCCCACCCCACTCTGATGGCAGTAGAGAGGCAAGATTAAAGTAAGATTTCATACAGAGCAATCAGAAAGAAAACTATTGAAGCCGCTCAGGGGTACTGGGAATGAAGTAAGAAGGACAAGGGTGAAAATTAAAATCGACAGGTGTGGTTATTAATTGTCTGGGGAAGTAAGAAAGAGCAGAACTATATCAAGAGTGGTGAACGTTGTTTAAATATAGAATATCAGAGAAGGAAACTTGGGGAGAAATGAGCCCAGTTCTGGCTGCATTCGGTGGGAGTTACCCCTGAAATCTTTACTAAAGCCATCCCGCTGTCTCAAGCTTGGGAGAGAGTATCAGGGACCAGAGTTTTGCTTTGAGGAGTCATTAGCATGTATTCATGTTGAAAGTGTTGGCATGCAATTGATTGCTTAAGGCAGGAGTGTAAAGTGAAAGCAGAAGAATGAGAAGTATTAAGGATGGACTCCTGACCAAAAAAGCAATAACTCAGATTTAGTAGCAGGCCCAGAAAGAGAAAGTTAAGAAGCAGTGGTCAGAGAGAGCGAACCAGAGGAAGTGCAGTCATGAAAGCCAAGCAGGAATCAAATTTCAAGAAAATAAAGCCAGTGGTGTTAAAAGAAATATGTGGCAGATACGCTGTTCCTGTTACACTAAAATCATTTCAAGTAACACCATGGTGGGAAACAAAGAGAACTTACTGATTTCCATCCTCTCCCCTACAGAATCCTTACTTTGGATATTTTGGATATCATGGCTTTGGGGGTCGCCCTCCTTATTATTCAGAAGAGATGTTTGAACAAGATTTTGAAAAACCCAAAGAAGAAGATCCCCCTAAAAAAGAGAGTCCAGGCACAGAACCCACAGCTAACTCAACGGTTACAGAGACAAATTCTACCCAACCAAATACCAGAGGGAGTCAGGCCGGAAATGACACCAGCCCAACAGGAAACGCTGGGAGCAACCCTACAGTTCAAAATGGGGTCATCCCACCCCCTACAGTCAATGCTTCAGGTCAAGGAGTGCCAGGAAGTCAGATCCCATGGAGACCAAGTCAGCCAAATATTCGTGAAAATTATCCAAATCCTAACGTAAGAAGATTTCCTTCAGGAAGACCGTGGTATCCCACTGGTACTGTCACAGGGCACAGACAGAATGGACCTTTTTATAGAACTCAACAAGTTCAAAGGGGTCCTAGGTGGAACTCCTATGCTTGGGAAAATAAACAAGCAGCTCGTCCAGGAAATCCAACTTATCACAGAGCTTACCCTTCCACTTCAAGAGGTAATTACCCCAATTATGCAAGAAATCTAGCACATTCCAGAAGAAAGCCTCAGGGGCCAAATAAACACCCTATGGGAACCAGTGCTGCCCCACTGAGTCCCAAACCTGGTACCGTTGACCGCAATGAGAAAACACAAACTCCAAGGGAGAAGCCACTGGGTCAAAAAGAAAGAGTAGTCATTCCTACAAAGATTCCAACTGGCCCCTGGAGAAACTCACAGCATTATGAAGTTAATAAATCAAATTATAAACCGCCTCCCCCTGAAAGTAACACACGAGTCCCAAATTTTAATTCTATTGATCAACGTGAAAATTCCTATTACCCGAGAGAAGATTCTAGAAGAATCCCAAATTCTGATGGACCAACTCAGAGCCAGAATTTGCCCAAAGGGATTGTTTTAGAGCCAAGAAGAATCCCATATGGATCAGAAACTAATCAGCCAGAATTAAAGCCCAGCACCTATCAGCCTGTATACCTTGAGGAAATCCCTTCTCCTGCAAGAGAACATTTTCCTACTGGAAGAAATACTTGGACACACCAAGAAACCCCTCCACCTTTTAAGGAAGATCCCAGAAGACGGGAAGAACATTTACCTCATCCTTCCCATGGCTCTAGAGGAAATGTTTTCTACCCTGAATATACCCCCTATGATCCCAGGGAAAATTCACCATACCTTAGAAGTAATACATGGGATGAGAGAGATGATTCTCCCAATACCATGAGGCAACAAGAAAATCCACTGTACCCCATAAATATTCCAGACCAGAAAGAGACAGTCCCTTATAATGAAGAGGACCCAGTTGATCCAATTGGAGATGAATCTTTTCCAGGACGAAATAGATGGGGTGAGGAGTTGAGATTTAAAGGAGGCCCAACAGCCAGGTACTATGAAGGTGAGCAATATACCTCAAATCAACCAAAGGAGTATCTTCCCTATGCCTTAGATAATCCAACAAAACCCAGGGAAGATTTTCCTTATAGTGAATTCTCCCCCTGGAACCCAGATGAGAATTTTCTATCATATAATACAGCTCCTACCATGTCACCACCTATTGAGAGCAGGGGCTATTATATGAATAATGCCGTTGGAAAAGAAGAAAGCACTCTATTTCCCTCATCGAACTCCTGGGACCATAGGATTCAAGTCCAAAGGCAAAGAGAAAGAAGGCCATATTTTAACAGAAATTTCTGGGATCAAGGAACGTATTTACAAAAAACCCCTGTTAGTCCACCAGACCGGAAGGAGAATCAGCCCTATTTCAGTAACTACCCAGCTGGACTTCAGAAAAATCCAACCTGGCATGACGGTGAGAATTTGAACTATGGTGTGCAAATTACCAGGTTAAATTCACCAGAGAGAGAACGTTTGGCCTATCCAGACATAATTCGTCAAAGTTACCCATCAGGTCAAAAAGAAGCACATTTATTTCACCTAAGCCAGAGAAGACCCTGCTGTTCTGGTGGCTCCCCAGGGCCCAAGGACAATCCACTGGCTCTACAAGACTACACTCCATCCTATGGCCTTGGGGAGAACCAAGATACCAGTCCTCTGTATACAGAAGATAGTCACACCCAGCATGCAAGACATATCATCTCTCCAACAAGCATCATACCTGGGCAAAGAAACAGCTCAGAGAAGAGACTGCCGGGGGAAAGCCAAAGCCCAAGTCCTTTTAGAGACGATGTGTCCACTCTGAGGAGGAACACACCATGTTCTATAAAGAATCAACTGGGCCAAAGGGGAATTATGCCCTTTCCTGAAGCCGGTTCCCTTCAATCAAAGAATACACCTTGTCTCAAAAGCGATCTTGGAGGAGATGGGAATAATGTTCTGGAACAAATTTTTGAAGACAACCAGCTCAACGAAAGAGCTGTTGACCTTACTCCTGAGCAGCTTGTTATTGGTGCACTTGACGAAGGCCCCAATCCGGAAGGCATCCAAAGCGAAGTTCAAGGAGATGAGAATGAAAGGCAGCAGCAAAGACCATCTAGCATTCTGCAGTTACCATGCTTTAGCTCTGAATTAGCAAAGCATCACTCTTCTGGCCCTGGAACTCCATCTAGCAACGGGAGGCAAGACCCATTTGATGGGGATCCAGCTATGCCTACTGAAAATCCTAAAACACTGGTTGAGTTAGCTACTAGGGAACAATTTCAGAGTATAAATGTAGACCCACATAATGCAGGTGAGCACAGTCCATTTGAATCCCTTCAAAGAGGGACCAATCCACAAGACCAGGTACAAGACTGCTTACTACTTCAGACCTAGGGAGAATCTCAACCAAGCATTCTTGGGGGAAGGAAAATAACCGACACTCTGTACTAATGGTTCTCACATGTTTTCCCCAAGACCCAATTAAGTATCTGACCCTCTCAGTGAGCCTTAAGTTTTTCCCTGTCCCAGAAATAGAAGTAGTGGCCCAGGTGAAGCTGGTCAGTTCAGGCCTCAGATCCAGCATTGTCATAAATTAATGCAGACCTTTAAAAAGCAGGAAGACCATGACCATCCCTGCTCCAAAACTTGGAAGCCACTTGTCTGGGTTAGTTTCCTTTTCCTTGATTACTTCCTTTTTCTCTCAAAATTCTGTAGTTGCAAAATTATCTATTTTTGAAAGGCAGATGAACTTTCCATTTTTACATATGAAAATCTACACGTCAGTATAGTCCTGACGCACTGCACATTTTTTTTCTTGTGTCGGTCTTGGCAGTTCCTTTTTTTCTACTCTGTATTCCCTTTGGACATTTTTTCCTTCTACTGCCACTCTCATTACCTTTATCATTTCCTTTCTTTTTTCTTTTTTTCTGACTCAATCACTCTATATTTAGCTATCTATTTTTCTTCATTTCTCTCTCTCTCACTATCACGTTACATACTAAGTTAGCTGTTTTTAACCATGACTAGCCTTTTCTTTATGTCTATCTCCTCGACTGTGTCTTCCTCTCTTCCCACCTTTCTCTTCTGTTTCTTGTGTATCAAGTATATACTTGTCTTTTTTTCTCTTTTTTTGGTTTTCTTTTTTTGAGTTGGAGTCTCACTCTGTTGCCCTGGCTGGAGGGCAGTGGCACGCTCATGGCCACTGCAGCCTCGACCTGCTGGGTTCAGGCAATCCTTCCACCTCAGCCTTCCAAGTAGCTGGAACTACAGGCATGCACCACCACACCCAGTTAATTTTTATTTATTTATTTATTGTAGAGATGAGGTCTCGCCAAGTTGCCCAGGCTGATCTCGAGCCCATGAGCTCAAGCAATTCTCTCACCTCAGCCTCCCAAAATGCTGGGATTATAGGCATGAGCCACCGCACCTGGCCTAGTGTATCACTTGTAAACGAATCCCTCTCTTCTCTGACTCCTTTCTTTCAGTTTATTTTTTTCCCTGCTATACCACTTTCAAGTCTTAAGACTGTGGGCACTCTCCCCTTTCTATATCAACTCTCTAAACTCTAGCCTAATGAATTACCATCATTATAGAATATATTTCAGAAATAGTAGACTTCTGTCTACTACCTTCTTTTGTTTTTAATTGTCTTATGGTCTCTACCAGGTAAGCACAGCTCACTTAAACACATTCAAGGAGAAGGGGAGACAGGCTAGTTACCCAGAGCTAGCATCCTAGGGAAAGGGCTTAAGAAAGTAGGGAATAAAGAAGAAACTTAAGAAAGGAGGGAAAACTGAAGAAACTGCCACTCTGGGGCCGAACATCTAGAAAAAAAGACTAGAACTTGCCATACTCCACTGCTAACTCATAATCTGCAGGATCTGGAGAGGACATTTTGGGAACCACTGTCTTAAACAAATAAAATACTCAATGTTTAGGATTGTTTTAGCTCAGTATAAGTGATTCTACCAGTGTGTGCTACTATTAACCTATGTATTTTTCATCTCCATGTAGAATTATTCACAGACACACCTTCTTTGTATCTTGGGACTAAATAGTGTAAATTATTTTGTAAAGTAGATATTTCTATGTTGCCTTGCTTAGAATACATCTGGGTTTATTTTTCTTATTATTAATGGCATTTTGCCTATTATCTGCCTAGAAGGAAAAACTTCTCAGAATTACTTTAAAACGTACCTTCTAACTTTAAGGAATTTCTTCAGAGAAATTCTCAGGGGCAGATTTTATAAGAAGAGCTCAAAAACTTGGGGAAATACAATGATGAAAACTTCCTGAGAAAAATAATCTCACCCTTGAATCTTCTAAAGTACCTAGCACAGTGTCTTGCACATAGGAGGCACCCAATAAATATTGATTGATTTTTGGAATGACTCCAAACACTTCCATGAGACACTGAAGTCTGCTTTTCCTGCAGGTGAACTGTCTAGGATGCTACATAAGCCACCATACTCTGTAGCTTATCTACTCAGTAACATTTGCGTGATAGAATTTCAGCAAAAGAAGGGATCTTAGAGCTAGATTATCTAGGCCATCCACTAGTTGCTTGGATTTCCTCCCCCCGTCCAGTTTTATATTTTAATCACACATTATTAACTTATTCTGTATAAAACAGCCATGGAAGATTTAACCTCTCAAAATAAAACTATATGATTGTTTCACTGTTTTTTCCAAATGATTTTTTTTTAATCTCACTGTGAGTACAGTTCATTGCAAAATATTCACTCACTTTATAGTTTACCAAAATAGATGGGCCTTATCATTTGTTTTGGCAGACATCTGGATCTATGAGGCACTTCTGCTTAAATTGTCATCTGAGACTTATGCAATATAAAATGTAAAAAGTGCAATGTGACCCAAAAAATCTGTTGAATTTGACAACATACAGTCCAAAGAATGGGAAATGTCCCTGTAGAAACTGACTCTTGATCTCATCAGCACAGACATGCTTTTGCAAGCCTGGACACCAGACTTGAGCGCCTTACAGTAAAGAAAGTAATTCTCAGCCGGGCTCGGTGGCTCAGCCTGTAATCCCGCGCCTTGGGAGGCTGAGGTGAGTGGATTGCCTGAGCCCACGGGTTCGAGACCAGTCTGAGCAACTTGGCGAGACCTCATCTCTACAATAAATCAAATTAGCCAGGCGTGGTAGCGCATGCGTGTAGTTCCAGCTACTTGGAAGGCTGAGGCGGAAGGATCGCCAGAGCCCAGCAGGTTGAGGCTGCGGTGGCCAGGAGTGGCCACTGCACTCCAGTCTGGGAGACTGAGTGAGACTCCAACTCAAAAAAAAAACCAAAAAAGTAAAAAAAAAAAAAAAGAAAGAAAGAAAGTAATTCTCCTGTGCTCTAAAGTTAAGGTGCATGCAGTGGAGATGGGGGGCTCTGAAAGTGAGACCCCTTGTCTCCAGTATCCTCATCCCACCGCTGCCACCCCACTTCTATGGCGAGTTCCTACATCTAGTGGTCATTACCTGCTGATTTCAATATAGCTAGCTATAGCCTATGATGGTCTTAGTTGGTAAAGTAAATAAGGAAGAAGAAAATAACATATGTGGATTTTAAACAAGAGATAATCTGACAAGGCTGACACACATCTGCTTTAGAAGCACAAACAACCTTCTCTAAAGGATAGTTGGGCACTGGTTCAGGCAGGGACGGGTGAGGGAATCTTACACTTCCTCACTTTATAAGGAAAGCAAAGTAGGATGATAAAAATGTAGGGTCCAGCCAGACCTCCAGAAACTCAGTCCAGTGGCTATTATCATGGAGATTCTTCCTGAGGCTTTTCAGAGCCCCTGAAGAGGTAGATGACATGCTTTACTTTGGTCACTCAAACCAGAGTCTTAGCTCACATCTTTAAAGAGCACTCACAAGAAGTGATCTCTGAGCTGTTTTTATTACTTGCCTAGGCATATCTCTACTCACTTGTTTCCCCATTCCTGGATTACCTCAGTCTCCTCCAGTCATGACCGTAAGGAGCCTTACAAAGATTCATCTCACCCACAGAAAACCAAATTGCATTCCTTTTTTTTTTGGAAAGCAGGATTTATTGAGGGGACCCAAGGGAGTTGCCCCCAAATTGCATTTCTAATCACCCAAAAGGGAACCGGAAGTGTTGGACTTAAAATCAACAGCTTTGTCCCTCCTTCACAAAACTTTCAAGGTTTCACTGTGACTCAGGTCAACGGCCCAATTAAAACCGGAAGAAAACTTCACTTGGTAGGAAATAGATGTTCACATGTTCACAACAGAATACAGTGTGTGGTTCTGTCCACCTCACCCCTAACCCAAAACCATCAGCCACTGAACCTTACCCTCTCACTTTGAATTTATTGTCAATTGGATTTAGAAACAGGATTCAGTTGGTAACAAGCAAAATCCCATTGACAGAAAAGAAATCTGCAAATGAAGAACCAAACGAGAAGTTGAGCTGTCATTTGAGGCAGACGTGATTGCAAAATAGATGAAGCTGTTCTCATGGCCCCAGCACCTCCCGGGCAAGGTCCTCTGATCCCCTGGTGGCTCATTTCATCTGCACTGAGCACCCAGCACCCTGCATTTCTGCACCTCATCAGAGCTTGGACAGTAATTACCTCCGAGCTTGTCCAAATAATTTAACTCGTCCCTTTCTGCCAGAGCTCTATGCAGCAGGAATTGGCTGTGGTTAAACCAGGTAAGAGTGTTTTCTCTCAAGTGTTGGCTAACGTTCAGTCCCCCTAGACCACGTTCCCTTCAAGGGCAAGTCTGATCATAGCATTTTGGGGAAAGAATAATCATAGAAAATTTTGTTTGGGGCAGACCTTGTCGGTCCCTCAGCTGTTAAACTGTGTTGCTAGCTGCCTCCTTTAACTAGTTTTCACGCTGCTTTCTACCATGCCAGCGTTGCTCAAGCTTGAATGTGTATGTGACTGTGAGTCCTGTTAAAATGTAGATTTTAATTCAGTAGATGGAGTAGAACCCACCATTCTGTAATAGTACCATGCTCTCAAGTAATGACGAGTCAACCAGTCAGCGAACCACACGTGGGGTGACAAAGAGCTAGGCTGTTTCCTGCAAATAAATGACAACTTCACACTGACCAGCGAAGGAACAGAAAGATCTTGACTGCTGAGAAAACTGAGTATCACTAATTTGAGCGATGATATGTGTAAATGAAGCATATAAGTGAAAGACAATAGAAACACAAGAAAGAGGAACGGGCTGATTCTGTCTCTTCCTGTGTTTATGTTATGTTATGCTCCATCCAGTCTCTTTGTCTAACTCATGTAGTTCTAGAAGATTCTATTCTCCATCAATGAGGGCCTTATTCAGTTAACATCTCCTCCAAGACAACCCCAACCCTAACATCCCCAGCCTCCCCAAAGGCTCACAGCACGTCATCTTTACTATTTAATCACATGTTTGTCCGATATCATGTGCTA